TGTGACTGAAGTATCAAATTGACAAAGAACATTGCTGTATCGTGAAAATCTTTGGTAAATGAAAATTTCACCATAAACACCCTTTTTGGGCGAAACACGGCTGTCCTATCAATTATGAGGCCACATACCAAGAATATTCAGCGCAGCCTAAAACAAGTAAGACCTTATAAAAGGAAAAGCTAAAACAATAAATCAAGATGGAGTGAGCGAGATATGTTACGTTCCCAGAAAGAATACCAACTGTTTGAACTGCACGTGAAATGATGTCACGAGAAAAGCAGGAATTGGAGGTTCTGGTGAAGAGGAAGAAGCACCTGATAAAACAAAACTACAATTGACACTTGATGAAAATATATTTTTTGAAACCGGGATCCCAATACGTTATAAATTGATGAAAAAATATTTTTCTGAAACCGGGATCTCCAACAAAATGCGAACATGTGCTTCTTCCTCTTCACAGTTGATAAAACTTATCTTAACAGTTGATAAACCTCACCCGCCCAAACCATCTCAAGAGACCACATTTAGAATGTTATTCACCATTGCGCCAAGTTGGACAAAGACCTGCACGTTACTTGGGCAATGAATCAAGCAGATCATGGAAAAGAACCAAATACTCAACTTAAACAAGAGAAGGTGCTACCTGACAACTTTCTCCTTGTTCCAAAGACAAATCACAGCTTGTTCTGAGTCCAGAAGAAACCATCTCCGAGGATAATATATTTTGAAGTAAAACATTCAGAGCACTGACTATATTGAGACAGTTACACTTGGTCTTTACTTTTGTATTAAGCATGTCATGCAAGGAAATAACTTTAAAGTAGAATAGTGAAATGAAAACCCAAAAACACAAGAAAAGTTGGTGAAGATGATACAATACCTTTTAAGTCAACAATTGAATTCCGTATGCAATCATTAACCTTCGACACATACGTCGAGCATAAAAGCTGGCATAGATGATACAATACATTTTCTAACACCTACATATGTAAGCAGTCGAACAATATGTTTATGTAAAGTCCCCACAAAAGCTTGAGATATTGATAAGTTTAAAAAAAAATATCGAGTAGCATCAGCCACAAGTACGTACATTTGTAGCTACTAAACAGCTATGCAAGGCGAGTAACCGAAGTTGTTTGCCTAAAAGAACTACCAAACACCCTTAAATATCATGTAGCCAAGGATATCTTGGCCTTGATCCCAATTAAAGACGACTCTATCTTGTATACCAAAAGGGTTGCAACGATTGTGTCGCGATCAAATACCAATCTGTGACCAATTACCAAAATATTTACATAGTTCAAACGGGAAATGATTAGAAAAGAAATGGTCACTAAAACACTAACGTTTGATCTAACACAAATCCCTAAATGTTTAAAACTCGAAAAGTTAAGGTAAACAAAGATCTTAAGTGCCTTATATCTTTTTACATCTTTCTGTATTAATCACCTCGATAGCAAGGAATATTAACTACACATTCATAATAGTAAACATCTAAACTCCATCTAAGCGTACTTCAAAGTCTATAGTAGACCATCATAAGAACGTCTCGTACTGGCATCCTCCAGAAGTCTGTCATGTACAAGATTAAGTAAACCAAAGCAGACCACTGTTACAGATGCTAGTAGTATGACACCAAAATATTTAGGAGTAGCATCACATCTAATTTGTTGCTCTTATGGTGCTATGGAAATAGGGTATTTCAGTCAAGTTAGTAATCAAGAATTGTCCCAAGATTAGGTTGCATTAAGAATAAATAGTCAATAAAAATATACACGATAGCCTTCGTTCAGTAACATCGGCTTCAGCTTTTAATAATTTCTAGAGAAGTAATTACGTCCTGAAACTTAACAATAAAAACACATTATAGCACCTAGCAGGAGGAGCGATTTTCATTGAATATATAGAAATTCGCTGACGTCGGATTATTAACATAAACCATGAGAGGCCTGCATGGAGATTATCTTATCTAAAAAAAAAGGCAAATCTTGGGAGCAGTCTAGCGAATTTAATTCAAAGTCCAAACATCTACCTAATATATTATCCCAATTGTTTTTCCACATCAAGAAGGTATTCATCTTGTTTTGTAATGCGTGCATCTGAATCATGAGCATTAAAAAAAAAGGGATGTAACCACATTCAAGCGTAACAAAAAAATATGTRTACCATATTAATGGAAAAACGCACATAGATGGGCGATATTACCTTCATACCTACGTTTGCTCCTTCCAAAATGTATTCATGTCGCGCAATTAAAATGAAACCTAAAAGCCTACAGGAAATTGGGGTCAGAACTCTTTAGCATAATGCAATATTAGAAATACGTAACCGACTAGTAGCACTATAGGCATAATACCTGTAGGGACCTGACTTTGAAAGCAAAATCTTCCACGCAGAGATGTCGTTTGAATTAGTGACACAGCCAGAGAGATTGAAATTCCTCCCACCAATATGAAGGGACCGCCAGCAATATGAAATAGACAGAGTTTTCACCATTTAGCTTCAGGTTAATCCATTGATGGATTCATCTTGTAAAAATATACAGTTATCTCAAGTCAGACAATACGCTCAAGTGATAATTTCAGAAGCAGTAAAATCAAAATAAAGAATAATATTAGTCTAACTGATTTTCTAAACAAGAAGAAAATGGCTGTCACGTGTGTCTACTTAACGTCAAACAAAATTCCAGTCCAACAAAAATTGGAACAAACCCTAATTTTATAGAATGAAGCAACCAAATTCACACTCACAAATGCAAGCCACAACAGGAGAATATACCAACCCACCGAAACTCCACTTGTACAATCATCTGCATGAAACAAGACTCAAAGAAGACATTAACTATGAAGAAACACGAAAAAATTCTGGTGCATGATCTTTTCAAAGCAAACCCACCTTCTGGTTATGGGACCCTTGGGCTCCAGTTACTTGAAAAAAGAACTGAAGAAGATGCTCCAATTTACACACAGAACATAGACACCTAAGAATTTGCAGGGTTTCACTAATCAATTGGAAAGCAGTTTCCTGAAAAAAAGATGACTGGAGTATCTCAACTGCATCTTCCATGAAGACATGTGATCATCCGGAAAACAATGAATGCATGTGAAAGCGAAGACAATGTATAGAGTCAAGATGATGGTGGTTGGGCAAAAGAGGGTACCTGGCACAAGCATGAACAACAGTAAGAAATGAATGGTGAACAATCATATGCTTTAGATCTTGCTCCAGATCTTCTGAGACGCAGCTTGCGGTAACAAGTACACAAGGAAGCACTTGCACGTCTCCTTCCTTTCGACTCATCTCTTCTACCTTGGGGAATAAAAGATGTTAATATTGCTTCTTGATCAACCCATCAATGAACATACATTGCATCAATGTTGACCTATCATATTTTTCCCACTAAGCACTTCCACATCAGCTCGCAGTGCATGCGTATTGATGCAAAAGCAACTTGTTAATGCCAGCAGCTTGAGGGAAAAATGTAAAGGGCCAGGGCACACTTCATAATTGTTACAAGAAACTGGTGATATGGGTCCTCAACATCCCAACCATTTGCTTTGCTTTCTTTTCTGCTTCCACTAGAATGGAACTACCATCACTGGCAAATTGAGTATGATGCCCTGGAGGTTCCTCAAAACATAACTCATAGAGAGTTTTGCACATAAGATCTTGCGCATGAACATATATCTAATATCGATTTTGTATTTAAACATAATATCACACTAAAGAATGAGGACACGATATATCAAAGAGCAAAGCAAAGGGAATACAAAGTTTACCTAAGAGAATACAAGACCATATATTCAAATTTACAAAAAAGAGATATTTGCGAAAGAGAATGACAGATACCGTGGAAAGAAAACCCAACACTGACAAATATATACTATCTACTACTTCATATGAGGCAGACACACGAATAAAGAGTCCAAACAACATTTACCATTTTTCGTCATAATGTTGAAACATATCTGAAGTTTCCACATTTGTCTCTTGTTGAGAAGCTTCAAGAGCTATGATCTTGTTGTGCAGTGCTTGGAGACTGCAAAGACCTGAAGTTTGTAAAATTGCATCAATTTGATAAGGTTAGAAAACTAATGTGTAGTAGAATCTCGACAAATGCTTCATTGGCCAATTTATCGGCTAAATGCAACCAATTTTGTTGCTATCACAGTAGAATCCATATCTACAAAGTTGAAAACAACCAATCTCTGCCTTATAAATTAACTAGTATAACAGACACCTAAACCAAACATTTCACTCGTGAGCACAACCTAGAGGCTTCAGTAAATAGTCTATGGATCATGAAACAAAGTAGCACAACCATCAACCCATCCACATAAGAAAAAATAACCAGAAACGAACTACAAGAAGTGAGAAGAAAAGTGAAAAGATCATTTGGACTAAGGCTCCTCAGATGATTCACAAGCCACCAAGCCTGGGTAGCATCGCCGGGAGAAAAAATCGCAGCAATCTGAGAGAAAAAGAAACGAAGAGTGAGTATATTTGCAGAAACTCTTGAGTATAGCAATAGAATGCATTAGGTTAAGGGAGAATTCAAACATACCTTCCTGTAGCAGTCTTTCAAAAGGTAACTCCAACTCATCACTGACTACAACTAGTATGCATCCACTGACAATGGCATCAAACAGTCTCGCAGAGAATGGTGTGTGAGCAATAGGGAATAGACAAAGCAATGATCTGATAGAAGAGACACATATTATAAGAAGATAAGAGGAAAAATTTGTACATGCGGATTCCCTTTTCAGCAGCCTTTCCCTTCATCTTCAGCAATCCCCTCTATAATTATCACATTTTTTAGCACGGCTTAACTCTAAGCCGATTTTAGCACGCACTTTCCCTCCCTCCTCTACTCAATAAAGAATACATTGTCGTCATACAACGGGGTAGTATAATTAATAATGCAAATAAGTTTTCTTGGTTAACAAAGTAATCCAACTAACATCGTAAAACACAATTGTTAAAGCAAGAAAAAAAGATCAATTCAATAGTATCATTGGCCATGTTATCGGCTAAATGTTATCAGTTTTGTTGCTATCAAGGTAGAAGCTACATCAAAAAGTTGAAAGACAAACAATCTATGGCTTCTAAATTAACTTGTAATACAGACACCTAAATCAAACGTTTCACTCATGAGCACAACCTAGAGGCTTCAATATAAACAAAGTAGCACATACATCAACCAATCCACATAAAAAAAACAAGAAACAAACTGCAAAAAGTGAGAAAAAAGTTTATCCCATTGACTACTGTTTCTTTGCATAATTAGAAAACCAAGAGTCTTCAAAATAAATTGAAAAGAACCACACTTAATCTCAATTCTACAGTTAACATCCCAAGAAAATCATGGCACTTAGGGTAGTCTTAATGCATATCTCAATGTCAGGATGATTTAACTCATGAAAGATATAATGATCCCTACGAAAGGAATCTAGGTGGAAGACGGAGGAAGATAACAAGATAATCTAGCACATTGTTATAACGCAACAAGAAAGAAACACAAAATTGGATAGTGAGAAAATTCCAACAATGAAATTATTAAAAAGTGCAGAGTGCTTGACCTTGAAATGTGTAGGCTGCACATATCCTAATTTGTGATTCACAAATGACTTGAAAATTTTCCATATTCGGGAATGGTTCCAAATCCTTAAAAACATGAACAAATCAAAAGCGATAAGTTTATTGATGATACCTTGCACTAGGACGAAATGGAATGCAACTTTATAGGTAGAATTAACAATTTAGCTTGTGTAGGAATTTTACGAGTTGAGATGACTTAGAACCTGAAACTTTGGAGTCTACTTCAGCATCCGCGCAGCATGTAACTGGCTTGGAAACCAAAGACTAAAGAGCAACAAATAGAGAAAAGTATTAAAAAAGTGGACCAAAATAATAGCATTAACACATACCTGGAGTTGATCACCTTTTATGTTAACAATTTTTATGGCCGGATTGCTTTGGAATAAATCTGGCAAATAGGAAGCTATACTGTCAAAACATGCCGAATTGCTTTAGCAGTTTCATACAACATAGAGTGTAGCCTTGACTCTTCAAATATCAACTAAAGATTCTGTAAGAAAACAGAATGTCA